TAGAAAAACATAAAAATAAAGAAAAAATTAAAGAATAACAAAAAATACTTGCAACAAAAGAAATAGAAATAGAAAGTTTGAAGAAAATAAAGAAAGATATAAACTAAAAGCAAAACATAGAAAGAACTATATGATAAAGCTAAGGATGAAAAAGAAAGATATAAAACTTTATATAATGCATATATTACTAATCATAGTGATTATGATCTAATTAAAAAAAAATTGGAAAAAATTACTAAAAAATGTGATGATTATAAAAAGAGATTTAAGAAAAAGTGAAAAAGAAAAAAGAAAATTTAATCTTGAAATTCAAAAATGTTTTTACAATTATTACTTTAGTGAAAAATTTTTTATCATATTTATTGAAACAAATAATCGTACAATTTAAAAAATTAGCAAAATCTAGCGACCAAAAAATGTATAATATGATTATTAAAAATGTAAATGAATTAGATGTAGAGCTTAATTTTCTTTTATTTTTTTATTTTATCTTATCTTATTTTTATTTTTTTTATTTTTATTTTTTATTATATTTATTTTATTTTTTAATTTATTTTTTTTTAAATAAAAAACATATAAATATCTGTTTTGAATTTTTTAAAAAAAATAAATGTCTAATTTTCTTTGTATATTATCTATTTAAATTTTAATATTTGCTGCTTGTTAATAATAATCTTGCTTTGTACACTTCTTTATAAATCTAACGAATTAGTTGAAATACTTTTGACCTTAAAACAACTTTTGGTATTTGTGACAACAAATATCAAACTTATAATTTTGGAGCTTGTATGCTTATTAGACAATTAAAACTGGTGGTGGCAAAAAAAAAACAAACTAAAAAAACAAAACCAAAAACAACAATTAAAATAACAAAAAAAAACAACAACAAAACCAACAAAAAAAATAACTAATAAAAAAAATTACAAGTTAGTTTCAGTTCTTGTAATTCTTGTCGAAAAAATATATTGTGATTTAAATGTAAACAAAAATATTAAAAAAAAAAAGAGATAACAATGAAAATGGTACAAAAAAAAAGGTATGTACTATTGGTTCTTGTGTTGTTGGTGATGAAAAAGCTTATAATGTATATAGAAGTAAAAGACCTGATGGATCAAAAGTTAATAGAATAAACTTTGGGGCAACTTTTAAAAATGATCGATTATATTATAATGATATATTATATAAACATGTAAATATATGGAAATTATTTCAAGAAGAAGAAAACAAGCCTAGATTTAGTAAATTAGTCTTATCAGATATTGCGATTCATTTGGTTTTAACATCAGTTCACACAGGACAAATTGGAAATTTAATTAGAATTGTGCTATGGGCTATAGACTCACCTGATAGAGATAAGGATAGTGAAGAATTAGATGCTACAGATTCAATAGTTGAATATTATAAAGTTCCTGTTGCTGGTGATAAAACTTTACTAACTCTTTTAATTCAAAAAATGAGATTACATTTTTTCTGGTTAGAATTTGTGATAAATATTTGGCAAGAAAAACACAGAATGATATAACTCCTGAAGAAATCCTTGTAGATCTAGAAAAATTAGATGATCTAGAATTGAAAGATTATTTTTAAATCTTAGCTAAATATTATAGAGAAATTAATTGTGATCAAACAGGATGTTTACTAAAAGACTGGAATTTTTATATGTGTTATCAATTTAGCAAAGATGAACAAAAAGTTTGTATACTCCTAGAAGAAGATGATACAGACAGTATTATTTTTGATACAGCAAATTTTGCATTAATCTTAGTGGTTGATTATATGTCTAGATTTTTTAAAATGAGAAGACTTCATAACAAAATACCACCACCAGATGCTCAAAATCCAAATCAACAAGATTCTCGATATTTAACAAATAATAATATATATTTTTTAGGTCAAAATTTTTTAATTCAAGCTAGACAAACAGGTTTACCAGTATATTTTAGTGATGGAGTAATTGAAATTGCATATAAATATGATGTCAATATTAAAAATATACATAAAATAGCAAATATAATTGCACAACAAATAATACAAGCACAACAAGGAGAAAATAGTGGTGGGCAACCGATGGAAGAAGTTGAAGATGCAGAAATTTAATTTTTTTTAAAAAAATATATAAATATAGAAATTTTCTTTTTTTTTATTTTAATTTTTAATTTTATTCAAAATGTCTTGTAAATACAAATATAATAATAATAAATTTAAAGATTGTTGTTATTATTCTAATTTCGAATCAATTAATAAAAAACAAAATGATATTAATGAAACAAATATTATTTATGCTATAGCTATTGAACAAGCATTAGTTTAGTATTATTCGAATCAACAAACAAATCAAGGCCAAAATCAAGGGCAAACTGAAAATAAACCAGATTAAACCCCATCAGAACAGAATGATAAAGATGTAGAAATAGATGATTCTCAAGCAAAACAACCTATAATTAATATTTATTTAATAAATTAAAAAAAAAATTGAAGACACTCAAAGACCTAATGCTATAAAATTGATTGATAGTAGAGATTTAGATCAAAGAATAAATAATTCAAAATTATCACCAAATTTAATTAGTGATTTACAAAAAATAAGAATATCAAGATTAGATAAATTACATGTTGAATAATATAGTTATTATATTGATTTAAAAGATAAAACAAAAGAAATTACAACTTTGAATAATTTATTCGATACTATCAATGATGATAAAGTTTAACAATATTGCAAATTTCAATTTTATTAAAAAGCATAACTGATAAAATTTTTAAAATTAATCAAAAACAAGAATATAATTCGATCAAAAATAGAATAGGTAAAGAAAAAGATTTTACACAATTAGAAACTATTTGAAAAGATACTATTGATGAAGCTAAATACCTTGATGATAAACAAAAAGCTGAATTATATAAACTTAGAAATAATCAAAAATAGGAAATTTAAGGCTCAAAAAAATTTGACCAATATAAAATAGAAATTGAAAATGAAGCATTTATTTCAAATTTACTTGATGGAAAATCACTTGAAGTTTTAATAACAAATGATTTTTTGTTAACAGAACAACAAAAAAATCAACTTCATATATTAAGAAAACAAAGAATTCAAAACTTAACAGATAAAGTATTTGATGAACTTAAAAATAATATAAAAAATGAAAAAATTTTAAGTAAACTAGAAGATAAAGGATACTATGATAATAGAATTGGTGAGATACATGAAGAATTCTTAACAAATAATCAAAAAATAGAAGATTTACATATTTTTAGAAGATAGAAATTAGATACAATTCAAAGTAAAACTGAAGACGAAATATATGATATTACTTTTGAATTAATTGATCATTATCAAGATTTAAATGAACTTAACAATAACTCAGAACTTGCAGATGATATTTTAAAATTAAATCAAATATTACTTACCAAAAATAGAAAAATCAATAATTTAACTACTAAAAAAAACAAAAATATAATAATAACCTATATGATAATTTTGCTGTATCAATAAATATTGAAACAAATATTGAAGGTCTGCAGAATAATTAGATAATAAGAATTGATACTGAAATCGAGAAAGAATATCTTTTGTAACCTAGAACAATAGAAAATTTATATAAACTACGAGAAGAAAGAATAGCATTATTAAGACAACCACCTTCACCTAAACGACTAGCTGAAAATGAAGATGAAAATAAAATTTATTTATCCACAAGAATAATCGATAATGCAAAGCCAAATAGAAATTATAATGGAAATGACATTGCGCAAATTTCATAGATTGTTGATGAATATAAAAAAACTTTAGACAAAGATGATAAAAGAAAATTTACTTCAAGAGCTAAAACAAATCATGTTAAAGATTTAATAAAAGATTCTTATACAAAAAGTAAAGATGAAAAAACTTTATTAAATGTTCTCTATTATAACTGGGTTTTAGGAAAAGATGAAAAATTTTTATTAACTAGATATACTATTAAAAAAATTGAAAAAGCAAAAACATTAACAAATAATATTAATAATTATATTTGGGTATTAACAAAAAAAATAAAAACTGAAAAAAGAAGACTAGAAAAAGATCTAAACTATAAAAATCCAAAAAATATCTACAATTATTTACACCAAGAACCCCTCTTTTAAAAATCCTTTAGCATTTCCTGAAGAAAAAATTGATAATATTATAAATATTAATCAAATAATGATTTAGTACCAAAATTCTTTATTAAACAAGCTTTCGATTACACCACAAAATATAGATGAAATTCAAAAAGCATTGCTTGAAAGAATTAACAAATATTCTAATGATGATGATAAAAATATATATTTAATTAAAGTTTTTAAATTTTTAGTTACAAGAGAATTTGATATTAATAATGATGATGAATTAAATAATATATTTAATTTTGATTTTTTATTTTAAATAGGCATATATATTATATTAAATTTAAAATTATAATTCATATATCCAATAATAAATATTAATATTGTTATATTATAAATAAATATTTTATAAATTCTAAATATTCTAGTTGATTGTAAAAAAGCTACAGTATATGCATAATATTCTGAATAATTATAAAAAGTTTTTTTAATTTTATTCTGTAAAAAATTTTTTAATTGATTTAATGCTATATTATTTTCAATTGTTAAACGAGTAGATTCTGGTAAAAAAAAATAAATTTGATCAATATATTGATCTATAAAATTTTTAAATTTTTTTTTAAATTCTTTAAAATTTAAATTTTTATAATAATTAAGATTTATTATAACTGTTTTAATAGCACCAAGTAATGAATTTATATTTTCATCTTTATTTTTAAGGACTTCATTAAAATTTTTACGTAATTTATTAACTGGTTCTTTTAAAAGTTCAAATACAGTTTCAAAATTATCTGTACTGCGTATTTCTTTTATTTGCTTAAATTTTTCTTGTAATATTTCATCTTTGTAATCTATTTTTATTTTTAAAAATGTAAAACAATAATCTTTATATTTATATAAATTAAAGCAAAATATATAAATATAACTTCAAATAAAATATTTTGATAAAATGTTAATTCAAAACTTATTAGTTTTATTTTTATTAATTAATCAAATATTTGCATTTTCTTGCAGATATTATAATAAAAAAATAGAATAGAACAAAATTTCAAAAGAAGAAGCAAAATTAATTTGGGATCTAGCATTTACCCTCAAAAATATCATAAAATTGATTCAATTATTAAAAAAATTTCACTTGAAAATTATCAAGATTTAACATCATTAGATCCTTCAGAAAAAATTTATAATCTAATAGAACAGTCAAATTTAAAATTAAAACTAAAAATAAAACTTCATAATCTTTGTGCAAGTAAATATTCTTATTTTCTTTTTATTATTTTAATTGATCGAGTAAAAGATTTTAATTTAGCTAATGAAATAAGAGAAAAAATTAAACAACATGAAGTTTTAAATAAAAAGGATAAAAAAAATTAATCAATAAATTAAATTTAATAATGTGTAAATTCATACAAGAAGATTTTTAATTTAAAAAAATAAAATATGAAAAATATATTTAAAATAAAAAATTATATTTAAATAAAATAACATAAATAATTAAATAAAAATAATATATAAATAACTTTTTTCTTTTATATTAAATTATATTATTGATATTGTTCAATTTTACTGTTGTTCTTACATCATTTTTGTCTTGATCCCAGTCTCAACTTCAAATTTGTAGCGAATGCTCATAGCAATCTCCAACATCTGCCTTACTCTGGTATTTTAATACCCTTGTATAATACGGGTAGCTCTGCTGGCTCGCTTTACAAATAAAGCTCGGCAAAGCGGTTTGGGCAATTTTTTTACGATGCGTCGAATACCTCGTAATTCTAATTTTTTGTTGTAAACAACAAACAATCAGGATACTTATTTTTGACAACATCTCAAAAAATTGAAATTTAAAATTACAAAAAAATGCTTTGATTAAATTTTTTAATTCTTTATTAAATTAAAAATAATATTACAATCATATAAATCAAATTTACAATTATTCTTAAATTTGATTTGTTCTAATTTAATATTTGGATAAATTAATACTAATAATGGTTTTTTGAAATTTTTATCGATTATATTGTTTTCTTTATTAACTATAAGTTTACATTGCTTTAAAAGAGATTTATATTTTTTATCAATAAAGAAATTTCTTTTTTTAGTTAATTTAATTGAATATATTCTGTTATATGATTATTTTCATCAGGATACATCAAAGATCTTCGATAATTCTGCTTTTCATTATCTCTAAACTACCAAAATTCTTCTGATTTTGATAATTTAATTTCAATATTATATTCAAATTCATTTTTGGATATAGACATTTCTTATAACAGCGAGCATGTAAGCAGTCCCGTATTATACAAGAGTATTAAAATACCAGGATAAGGCAGTGAGAATTAATATAAAGTAAGGAAAATGAATGACCAAACAATATGACAGTTGGGAGCTCTCTCACCTTAACGATAAATTCTTAATTATTTATCAAAGAAATTTTTAGACCTTTTTATAGAGATTTAAAACCTAAGCCACAATTTTAATCTGATTGGTTAAAAACTAATCAGATATTTATTTAGATAGTCAAATAAACTGACTCACCTATTTTAAGTATCAAATGAACTGATTATTATAAATTAAATAAATAAAATTCTAGTTGGTCAAAGACTAACTAAATAAAAAACAAAAAATAAATTAAAATAATTTGTATGAAAAATTAGTCTTCATCAGATTCTTTAAGATCTGAATTTGCAAACTCAGAAATATTTTCTTGATAAAATGTATCTAAATACTCGGCTAATTGTAACTTGGTTGTTGATTTTTGAATATTTTCTTTAATTTTATTAATCAGATTTAAATTTTTAAAAAATGATTGTACAAAAGAATTGTCTTCATTAGTTAAGAACAGACTAATATATTCATTAATTTCTTGACAAATATTTGTTTTTTCTTGTTCAGAAAGTAAATCTTGTTCAGTAAATTTTCTAGAACAACCATCAATAAACTGAGAATGAAAATAATCATAAACAGTTTGATATATTAAAGAAATTAATGATTTTATTTCTTGTTCCATTTTTTATATACAAAAAAATCTATCTGGTATTCAAACTAGATAGAGAAATTAATTATAAAATACATGCTCGATAATATAATTTGTTTTTTTAAATAAAATAGATTCTGTTAAAATAACAAATCCAACAATTGTTTTTATTTTTAACTTGTAATTAAATTCTGAATTTGGAGAAGTATAAAGCTTGTTTCACTTTTTTTGAACTAAAAGAAATTTATTAAATATTTCTTTATCAAATTGAGTTATTTTTTCCAAATATTTAATTATATTTTTTAATTGCTGATTTGAATGATAAAATTTTTGAATCAGATCATAGGTGTTGATACCAACAATGTTATGATCAAATTTTATATATTTCATTTTTTTAATTTATTTTCTACTCTTGAGTACTATATAAAGAAATATTTAGTGATTGTAGAGTTATATCAAAATATTGTCTACACAATATATATATATGTATAACATAATTATTAATATTTCTAAAATTAAGTGAAAATATATTAATCGCAAGATATTGTTCTGTGTTGTTAATGCAAGACTGAATTCTACAGTTATTATTAAAAATAAATAAAGAACTACAAAATTGATACTCATTACATTTGTCACATATATGTTTTCTAATTTCTTCTATTTTTTTATAATGTTTTATATAAAGTTTATCAAATCCAGACCAATGTGATTCAAGTGGGCTTATATAATGAAGTTCTCTTTTATCAATGTATAAATTTTTTTTAATTTCAGATTTGGGTTTTATATATTCTATTGATTTTTGTTTACAATAAACACATTCTTTTTCTTGATCACAAAGCATTTTTTCACGTTTGTATTCTTTACAACGTTGATATTCTGTATCAAAATAAACCTATTCTAATTTTTTCTTTTTTTTGATATATTTGAAATTATAAACTTCTGGTGGACCTTGCATCAACCTAAATCTATTATACTTATAAAATTTGTAGCAATTTGGATCATTTATAATACCAAAATAAACTTTAAAAAGAGTTCTACATGTTTTTCCAAATCAATATTGATCCTTTTGAGAAGATAAAAAACTACATATCATAAGAAGAATTTCAGTAGCGAAAGTTACAAAATTAAATAGTGGAATTTCTTTTTCTTGTTTAATCTTTTTTGTTTGTTTAATTTTTTTTACAATATAAAAATTTTTTCTTGTTTAATCTTGATTTTTTTTCAATATGAAAATTTTTATTTTTTTTTATTTTAATGAATTGTTATAGAAATAAAAATCTATTTGGTTAAAAATTAAATAGATATTATTTATTTGATTTTTGTTTTTTATTTATATCTGGTTTTTCAGAGATTTCTAATTTTTTTTTTGAAAAAAAAAATTTCTGTTTTTTATTTACATCTAGTTTAGTAATAGTTTCTAATTTTCTTTTTGAAGAAAAAAAATTGGTTATTAGAGTTTGTTTATTTTTTTTATTAGTATCATTACTTTTTATTGATTTTTCTTTTCTTTTTGTAAATTGTGTATTGGCAAAATATTGTTATAAAATATTGTTTTTTAAGCTCATTTTGTTTAAATATTTCTTGAATTGTTTCTTTTGCTTTTTTGATTTGTATTTTAATAATGAAGCACAAATATCTTGTAAACTAGTGAAATAGTGTATAATATCAATTCGAAGATTTTTTTCTTCTCTGTTAGCAACAAAATAAT